GAACAAAATCAGAACAGATTTTCTTACATATAGATAATAAAAAAGAATTGGATAAGGAAAAGAAGGAATTAGATAAGTAAAAGAAGGAATTAGATAAAGAATTTTGAATCTGCCTTTTTTTTTTAACTATAGATAGATTTTACGTACAAATTTTGACTTCACTGATTTTATGGGATTTGTTTTGACAAAATCGATGTTAATATAGAATAAGACAAATAAATAAAGTTTTTTTATTTTAGTAAATATTTTACGTCTTTTTTTACTTGTAAGATGTTATGGAATTTTTTTTTCTTAAACTGATTTTATGGGATATAAGATAAATAAATAAAATAATTAAATAAAATTCTGGAGAGAAATAGCAATGTATTAATTACGTTGACTTTTCAATCTACTAAATTTGGTAGATAGGATACCTTATAAATAAGTATAGATATACAAATAAATAACATGCCAAAATTTTAAAAAATAATTAATGTATTTTAATTTATTATGTAGCCATCAGTAATATCATTTAATGATGTGATCATTATCTCTTAAATGATAAATAAAATATTAATTTAAAAAAAATATTTATTTTTTTATATACTCAAATAAAAAGTACTATCGTCAAATATGAATTATAATATATATAAGTAAATTATTGCATAAGTTAATAAAATTATTTAAGGAAAGAATCTTTTTGATCATATTTGAATATGAAATGTGTATATGTAAGCAATTAATGCATATAGTAAAAAATTTCCAAATAAAGTATGCATTAAATGTGAGTTGACTTTTCTTGCTACTATTTTTGGTAAATAAGATGGCTTTTAATATAAGTATATATTTATGTTTACATATTACATATATAAGTCAAACAATTGAAACTTCACCACGGGCTGGAGCCCACCTTATAGTATACGTGGCTCCGCCCCTGGAAGAGGATATCTCGTCAGGCGTGTCTTTCTTAATTTGGGCACGTTGCTTGCTTTTCGCGCTTTAAGGATGCAATAATTTTCGAGGGCTTAATGTTGCTTGTACTTCATTGTTTTTTCATCTTCAATCTGGTTCGTTGTACAAAACGTTTGAGACGAGACGGTTCAATCGAAGATCTTGGTGGAACAATATTTCGGGCAACATCACTATTTTTTTCGGTACATAAAAGGAGGCAAAGCCTAAGACGGATTAACAACTACGTTCCGCGGGTGGGAAACACCGAGGATTTCATGTGCCAGCCACGATTTAACGTCTCCTGGAGGGGTATGCAGCACAAGAAGCCCACCGAGGCTGCGGGAAGCCAATGAGGCCAACGAATCCGCCGCAAAATTTGATTCATGCCAATCATGACAAAGACGTACTTCCCAATTCCTAGAAAGAATTTCTCGGACAACACGTACCAAATCCCATGGGCTCCCACCCCATCATGAGCACCCTCAATTATACGTACCACACACTGGCTATCAACCGATGCAATCACTCTTCGAAACCCCATATCCCACGCTAGTGTTAACACTTGAAATAATCTCCAGAGCTCCGCACCAGTTATCGTCGAGAAACCAATGTTCATAGCAAAACCCCCTAACCAATGGCCAAAGCAGTCACGGATCAAGCCTCCAGCCGAAGCCAAACTCGTCGCCCCGTTAAAGGAGCCATCAGAATTAGCTTTCACCCATCCCTCCGGGGGCGGAACCCAGCGAACGAGCCTCTCCTCACGCCGCATCTGGGCAACATCACTATTGAATAAATAAAAGAAAAGCTGAATGATTTTCTTTTTTGGTTTGTTCTTTTTAGAAATCATTGTAAGAAATCTCTGCTGAAATCGCTTAGCAACATTCTACCGATGAAAAAAAAAAAAAAAGAATAAAAGATGAAGACAATTGATCAAGCTAACCGCAATAAAATATGTGAGAACTATACAATTCACCTATTTCGTGGATGTTGATAAGATTGTTTCTGCTAATAAAGAAATGTAAAAAGTGATAATTAACATATTTTCATACGAAATGTTCTTACACAAGAAGACAATTACTCATTTTCGTGCTAGAAATAGAGTCCACATTCACACGCCACTCTCTTGACCATAGTTCTCAAGATATACGTATTACAAAGATATGGTGAGGAAGAAAAAAAATAAAATAAAATAAAAACAAAAATAAACACATGAAAAACAAAAAAGAAAATGATAGAGTTGGACACAAACTAATTATAGAAAATTCTGTTGCCCCGTCGCGGAATGATTCTGTGAAAGATTTTAGCCTTTAAATATGTATGCAAGTAAGTTATTATAGATAATCTATGGCTAATATCCCTCACGGAACCATTCCCTGACGGGATTGCAGTATTTTCCACTAATTATATCCCCAACACAAGGTACATTTTTTATTTGGGTTGTCCACTTTTATTCATGAGAACATAACATGCATGTGACATCATGCCCCAAATCCAAAGCCCTCCCTTTCCAACTCCATTTTGAGCCCACCGATCTCATTCTCCGGCACAACCACCACGACGGACCTTCCTTCGCCTTTCGGCCCCGAAAGCACCATAACCAACCCCTTCTCACCAACACCATCCATTTTATAGCTCACCCTAATTGCCTTTTCTCCCCTATACTCAAACTCGTAAAACCCGGCTTCTTCGAGGTTCACAAAGGTTAGATTGGCCCCATAGACGATAAAATCCGCCAATCCTTCTTCCCTCTCCATAGCTTCTTCGATCATGTGGGTCTCGTCGAACGCCTCGTTTTTCATCAACGACGCTAGCTTGCTAGGGTCGGCCTGCGCCGTTGAGAAACCCGCGGCCTTCACCACACTCACAACTTGACCATTTCTCAAGTGTGTCGCGTTCTTGTGTTCCTCCTCCCTTTTGCATATAGTCACGATTCTCGGTTCGGAATCCTCGACCCGAGTCTTGGCGATGCATTTCCACATGATTGCTGAAATTGCCTCGAAAGACGAGAACTCAAGCCCCAATTTTGTTTGAATCTGGCTCAACTGCATGGGCGTGACATCGAAAGAGAATGTGTCCATCTTGGTACTAGATAAGAGGGTCCAATCATCTCCAACTGGCGGATCAACCCGTTTAATAGAAAGAGGTTCCGCCACTACTTTCGGCCACCCATTGGAGTTTACGGGCTTTGGTGTAGTGTGGCCGAGATTAATAGGCCGGTTCGGACCACACCCCGCGACAACCCGGCCCAAGGAGTTCATGTATTCTGTAGCAGAGAACGCATCTCCCAAGAGGTGTGCCCAGCTCAGGCCCACGGCCGCTCCTCCACATTTGAATTTAGTTAACTGTAAGAAGCAATATTAGTAAAACAATATTACAATGTTAATCAATATAATAATATTAATATAAATATATATATATATATTTAGAATAAATTATTTAATATGTCTACGATTATATGTACGAGTAAGATTTATACTGATAGTACTTTATGTAGTATGATATTAATATAAAATATATATAGATAATATTTTATTTAATGCGATAATAGTTAGTAATAGTATCTTTGTTTTGTCGATAATACGGCTATAATATAAATTAATAATATTTTATTTAATAAGATACTAGGTAATTATATCATTTTTTGTCGATAACATGGAGTAGCAAGATATATCTTTATTGTATTCTTTAATTTGATATTAGCAACCCAATATATTGATAATATTTTTATAATAAATATATAGAATAAGAATATAGTAATAGTACTTTATTTTAATATGTATTAGTAGAAATCAGTATTTTAATAGTACTTTTAATAACGAGTAATGGTACTTATACCATTATTTTTAATAATGAGTAATGGTATAAGTACATAATATTGTACATAGGGGTGTACATAACATTCACATTAAGTGGGACCGACAAAATATAAATAAAGTAGACCCCACTCTATGTGAGTGTCATTAACACCTTTATGTACATTTATTATGCACTTATAGCATTTTCCTTTATAACTAATACAGAGATCGTGCGATGCACGGGGTGCACAATTTTAATGCCATATATCCAGCCTTATAATTATATAAATGAATAAAAAAGATGTACGGGATATATATAGTACGTGACCTGTGCGAGACACGAGATATATTCATTTGAAGAGTATTATTACACAAGAAAATTGTACAATAAAATAGTATTGAAAAAAAGAAACAATCATATATTATTAAAGACCTCCTTGTAGACAACATTATGAGTTTGATTATCGGGTAACTCCTCATTCTCACAAACTAATATCTTCAACCCCCTTTCTATTAGTAACACGTGAAACGACAACATATAATTGACCATGACTAAAGACAAGTTTCTTTAGAAAAAGACCAACGTGGGATAAAGACTGTCCCTGACTCTTGTTTATGGTCATGACATACGAAACCATAAGTGGGAACTGCCGCCGCTGAAACTCAAATGGAACCCTAAGATCAGAAGGAGTAATATTAATTCTAGGAATCAACACTGTGTCGCCAACATGATCATCAGTCAATATCTTGCATTCAAGACAAAAAAAAAAATAGGTTTGGTCATCCACATTTCACATCTTTTAATAAGTGGCGTTTATTTAAGCCAAAAAATTAACATATTAATTAATATATAATTCCGCTAACACGTCACACTAATATTTATTTGATTTTAGAATATATATTTATTCATTGATATAAGAAAAAATAAAAATTTTATTAAATATTGTTCACCATATAATACTCAATTATTATTTTACTATAAAATTTACAGTCATATAATGTAATTATTATTATTTATAAAAGTTATAGAAGTAGTCTTCTTTATGTAATGAAATTCAAAATAAAATTTTGAGTATAAATGTTTACAAAATACACACACATGTTTTTTAGAATTCAATTTCCTCATAATAATTCTTTTTTTCATCCTAAGGCTTTATAGTTTATTTAACATACTATGCAATAGAAAAAATATTTTACAATAAGTTCATTTTTGAAACATAACAAAAAAAAAAGTGATAAAAACACTATCATAGTTGACAATAATATACAAATAAATAACATGTCGAAATTTTAAAGAATAACTAATATAATTTTATTATCTAACCACTAATAAAATCATTTAATGATGTGATCATTATCTTTTAAATAATAAATAATATTAATTTTTTTAAAAAATTAGTGTTATATAATAAAATAAAGGTTAAAAATATTACTCGATAAATATTAATTATAACGGATATCAGTAAAATCATTGCATAAATTATTTAAGAAAAAATCTTTAAGATCATATTTGGATAGTAAATGTAAATATGCAAGCATTTAATGCATATAGTAAAAAAATTCTAAATAAAGTATGCAATAAATGTGTGTTGACTTTTCTTGCTATTGTTTTTGGTAAATAGGTTGACTTTTAATATATACTAGTACAGGGCCCTGCGATGCACGGGGTGCACAATTTTAAGGTCATATATCCAACCTTATAATTATATAAATGAATAAAAAAGATGTACGAGATATATATAGTACGTGATCTGTGCGAGACACGGGATATATTCATTTGAGGAGTATTATAATTTAATATGCAATATTCAATAAAAGTTGTACAATACACAGGAAAATTATCGGGTAACTCCTCATTCTCACAAACTAATATCTTCAACCCCCTTCTATTAGTCACACGCGATACAACAACATAGAATTAACCATGACTAAAGACAAGCTTCTTTAGAAAAAAGACCAACGTGGGATAAAGACTGTTCCTGACTCTTGTTTATGGTCATGACATACAAAACCATAAGTAGAAACTGCCGCCGCTGAAACTTAAATGGAACCCTAAGATCAGAAGGAGTAATATTCATTCTACGAATCAACACTGTGTCGCCAACATGATCACCAGTCAATATCTTGCATTCAAGACAAAAAAACAATAGGCTTGGATCATCCATATTTCACATCTTTTAATAAGTGACGTTTATTTAAGCCAAAAAAATTAACATGTTAATTAATATATAATTCCGCTAACACGTCATACTAATATTTATTTGATTTTAGAATACATATTTATTCATTGATATAAGAAAAAATAAAAATTTATTAATTATTGTTCACCATATAACACTCAATTATGATTTTATTATAAAATTTACAGTCATATAATGTAATTATTATTATTTATAAAAGTTATAGAAGTAGTCTTCTTTATGTAATGAAATTCAAAATAAAATTTTGAGTATAAATGTTTACAAAATACACACACATGTTTTTTAGAATTCAATTTTCTCATAATAATTCTTTTTTTTTTTCATCCTAAGGCTTTATAGTTTATTTAACATACTATGCAATAGAAAAATATTTTACAATAAGTTCATTTTTTAAACATAACAAAAAAAAAAAATGATAAAAACACTATCATAGTTGACAATAATATACAAATAAATAACATGTCGAAATTTTAAAGAATAACTAATATAATTTTATTATCTAATCATCAATAAAATCATTTAATGATGTGATCATTATCTTTTAAATAATAAATAATATTAATTTTTTAAAAAAATATTAGTGTTATATAATTAAATAAAGGTTAAAAAATATTACTCGACAAATATTAATTATAATGGATATCAATAAAATCATTGCATAAATTATTTAAGGAAAAAATCTTTAAGATCATATTTGGATAGTAAATGTTAATATGTAAGCATTAAATGCATATAGTAAAAAATTTCTAAATAAAGTATGCATTAAATGTGTGTTGACTTTTCTTGCTACTGTTTTTGGTAAATAGGTTGGCTTTTAATATATATATAGATATAGATATATATATATGAATTTGTATATTATAATAATATTACAAGTCATATTTTTTTATTAGATAAATTTTCAATAATATTATGTTGGTCAGTTGGTAATCCATATAAAAGATTATACATAAATGCATTGCTAATTCGATGGTAATCCCCAACGAAAGTATTTTCGTTGGTAATTTATGTTGGCAAATTTTCAATTTCTTGTAGTGATTTATTAACAGATTGCTGTAACACGGTCTAATAGCTCCGTCATTCTTTTTGTATGACATGCTATTTAATGTTTATATGTCATTCCAATGAACGCCACAAAAAATGAGATCTAGTAGTAAATTTCATATGGTCAAGTATCATTTATTTAAAAATTAAGTAAATAATTATACTAAATTGGAAAATCCATAAATTATGTTACATACAAGCATCTTAAAGGAAGAGTTGCACAATCAACTTATACTAGTATTTGATCATGTGTACATGCACATATATAAATTTTAAAATATTATAAATTATGGGTAGAGATAATAGTGAAGTTTCTAGAAAAAATATATCAAACGACGCAATGCACTTTGGGTCGCTACGAAAACATCCTCCTTGTAGAATTACAAGGATAAGGTTTGCGTACAACTGACCCCCCAGATCACAACCAGTTGAGAATATACTGGGTATGTTGTTGTTGTTGTTGTATGGGTAGAGATAATAGATATGTTCGGTTTTGCTATGAAGCCAAAGGTTGGCTCCACAGTGGAGCCAACGTTCTGTATACAACAAGTAAACCTACCATATTCTCTGATTACTTAAATAACACTAATATAATTTTATTAATATGGTAGGTCTATTTGTTGTATATAAAATGTTGGCTCCACTATGGAGCCAACTGTTAGCTTCATAGCAAAATCGTAGATATATCACATGTTATAAATTTGATCTTTAGTAAATCAACAGTATAAATTTATATTATTTAACTATACATAAAACTCTGACGAAGAGGGGTTAACGCAGTGACACGTACATTCGCTCGGCGTGTACCATGTCCCGAGTTCGAGTCACCCGGGGGAGAATTGGGGAACCAGTATTGATCCCCTTTTTTGAAAGAAAAAAAAAAAAACTATACATAAAACTCTATATTGATATCATAAATATTTTTTACTTCGAGGATAATGATTAATTAGTTAATTACCGAGATAAATATTGAAAAAAAA